TTAGAGTTTAGCTCACATTGGATCCTCCAGGCTTCCAGACGATTAGGTTTCTTTACTCATTTTGACTGGAACGTGTATGCCCACCCCCACACAGATTTATGAAAATAAAGAATAAAAAAGGTAAATCAGTGTAGTCTTATTTTGTCTAAGAGTTCTTACTGCAAGTTTCAGAGCTTCTAGGTGAGGTGGTGGATAAACAAATGTTTGAAAAGAAAAAAAAGTGCCCTTTTGTGGCCCACTCAGAGAAAATTAGTGCACGCTTTGTTCTATTTAACAAGCTGGAAAGTGTAAAAACACGAGTTTACGGCAGTGATTTAACTCGATCAAACACTTCCACAGTACACAGAAAAAAAACAAATGTCAGAAGATGCTTGCAGACTTTTCCAAGCATAAAAAAACAAAAACAAAGGAATTGTTTGCCATCCTTGAAACAACCTATTAGCAGGTTAGAGGCTGTTTAAAAGCTTTTGCTTTTTATTTTGCTCGTTGTGTCAGTTTATCTATAAAATATCCTCATTTTGACTTCCTTAAACCTTTTGGATTAAAATGTCGAGGTCCACACGTTAAAAAACACATTTTCTCGCCTCCATAATCCATAATCATGAATGCTTTAATGTATTATGTGCACTTATGCTCACTGAGGTCTTCAAACTGAGGCGAAATTGCAGATTTATCTGTTATTTATTTGATTTGGTCAGCTGTGAGCATCCACACCGGTCACAGTTCAGAGTAGATAACAACTGCCCGTTTTTATGAAACACTGCAGTTTATTGTGGTAATTGGACAAACTGAAGGCTCTAATTAGTCCATTGCGAATTGGGCTGGGAGAAAACACGTATACGAGGGCAATAATTAGGAGGCCGTAAAGTTTTTCATCAACCGTGAAGCCACAAGGTATTTATCGAGGTTGTTTTAAACATAAAATCCACATTGAAACATTTAAATTGACAGAAAACGAGGAAAATAAAGTGCCAGGTAAAGCTGAACACCGTTAATCACAGCATGGATCTTTTCTTTCATTTCCTTTAGCTTTATTCATTTAATTGATTGCTTTTTAAATTCAGTTTTTTATACTTTAAGTGAATAATACTACACAACCTTTTGTTATACATGGTGCTGCACTGGTCGTAGGCTTTTATTCTGGTTACTGTCTTTTATTTTGTTTTATTTGAGCTATTTTTAACATAGAAACATACAGGACAGATGACAAAAATCTGAAGATGAGGCACCAGGAAGGAAAGGGCAGGAGGGAAAAGAAGAGGAGGAAGTTGAATTAATAATTAGTCGATAATTTCATCCTCAGTTGCCATGGGGACCGGAAGAATCCCTGTCAACCGTGGAGGTATGACAAGGGCTTTGTTGTAACATTATAGATGCAGTATGATGTGCGTCACAGAGTCCAGAATTCTGAACATTTATAAAAGATAGTAACCAGAATAACAGACATATAGAGACATTTCTCATCTCTATAACCAATATCTGAGGTATTTTATTGAGTCCCATCCACTTGTGATTTGATCTTTTTCCTTCTGATACAACATGTCAGGTTATTTCTTTAGTTTCTAACAGACTGAAGGGCCTTAAAGGGGTCTGGATCACCAGAAAAGGGCTGCTACACGCTGAAAAGATGTCCTCTTTTTTCCTGTTTCTTGTTTGTTTCGGGGCATCCACAGATCCTGAACTGGTTCAAATCACCCAGGACAAAGTGTCCATAATTCAGACAACTTTATTAGAAACATTACATCTTTTTCGCGCCTCCTTATTTAAGGTTACGCTCCAGTCAGAGATAAATTAACCTGTTAGGAATCAGAACTTCTATAAGGTTAAAAGGCTTTACAAGGCTTTCTTTTTATAATCCAACTGTCACTCTCACTGATGCTTTTTTCACACGTTAAAGGTCTTATGACCTTCTGATATTATCTGTTCTTTTATATATTTATAGCTCCTATCTGCCTGTGTGAACACATAAGCCATGTTCAGGTTCTGTGGGGGAGGTCTGGTGTGTTTTTCTTTTTTAAACCATTCCTTTATGTTCAATTGTAAACCTCTTTAAAAGGAGCAGGAGCACTAAAATAACAGAACTTGTCATTGTGCCGTTAATAGTATCTGAATGCTTGCCTGCTTTCATTTGCTTTCTGTCTGTGTTTATCGGCCTGTCAGGGTTTAATCTGCCTTTGTTTCTGTCAGCAGTAATTCAGCCATTTTTGCTCAGTATTTGGTTGTCATTTATGAGTATTAATAGCCAGCTCGGTTGGAAATGTACAGTAAAGGATTTGGATAGTTTCCCAACATGTGATGCCTTTTTTTATTTGTCTCCATACATAAAAAGACATTGATATAGACATTTTAAACGTATTCCTCACTGAT